CCCGGGCAGCCTTTGCCCGGTAACGCTGGGTGCCGCGGCCGCGTTCTGCTTGCAAGGGCGGTTTGCAGAGCGGGGGTTTGCGTGCGTTGGTTTGTTTTGTTTGTTTGCTTGTCTTTTCTTTTCTCTCTGGGATGTGCCCGCCCGTTGCTATGTGATGGAGAACTGCTGCCAGGTGAAAAGCACAAGGAATTGCTGCCGTGGGACGTCGTGCTGGTGCTGAAATGGTTAATTTTCTCGTGGTACCTTTTTTCCCAGGACCATTATAAATGCTCTTGCTTAACAAACCACCACACACACCGCTTGCTCTTCCATATAAAGTGTTACAAAGTAAAGCCCCTTGAATCCAAGCTTAATCAAATAAGTAGATAATCTTCCTAGAGAGAGACTATCAAACTTCCTTAATGAGTAGCTCCACTTTATTGCTGAAGTAAAGGCCTGGAAGCTACCGTTTTGTGTTCAGCTAACATTCCAGATACTTCCGTACTTACCTTTAAATAACTTTTCTAGTCATCTCATCTTTCTAGTAATTCACTGAAAGTTTGTGTTGTGCTCTACCAGGAGAACGGGCCAAAGCCAGCACTGCAACCATTTCAAAAGACCCAACAAAAGTTGCTTGAAGTTACAGCCTTAAATCATTCTTTGAAATATTAATACTTAAATGCTGTGTTTAAAGTTACAAATAGCTTTATAGCTAAAAATATAATGAATAGATTTAAATTAGAAATGTTACATTTCATATATCAAATAGAAGTATGAAGTTAAATGTGCAGCATTGAAGAAGGAGTCTTCGAAGTATACCAAACCCAGATATGCGGCTGATCACTCTACAGCTTTGACTGTTTGAAAGAAGGTGTTACAGTAAATTATTTCACTTTTTTGGGGACACACACATGCACACACATCACAGATTAATATATGTATCATTTGAAAATCTTACAGAAACTTATAATAATATGCTAAGAAAGAAGCTTAGAACTATGATTGAAATGTAGGGCACACAGAAATATGTCTAGAGGTAACAGAACACCAGTAATGTAACCTCCAATATGTACTGTAAAACATTTAAGAGTTTATTTATTAAGCTGTGATTAAACACTTTCGGAGATGGGGTTATATTTACCGGCAAATAATTGCAAAACTACTAGAACTGATGTCTTTTTGTTTAGAGGTGTCACAGGGGTATAACGATATGAAGATTTTAGTAAGCTACTACCATATAGTGAATTAGTTTGATTTTGTGTGTGTAGTATTTTGTGTATGCAAAGAGTGAGGTAACTGTAGAGTCTTTTATTTTCTGTATTCCTGGTTGTCATTTGTTTATAGAATTACTGCTTTATCACCTAAGGGATGTATTTTTTTCTTTCATACTCAAAAAGACTATTGCTTTTGCAGTGCAACTTCTGGTAAGGTACGGACTAGTCCTGTCGAAAGGAGTTTGGAAAAGTGTTGAAATGTTAATGTGTATTTGTTTGTTTGAAGCTCATTGTAATAACCAGAATGGGGGAAAAGTCCTTAGGACAAAGGAGATGAAGGGAGCATGAATCTTAATGACTGATTAGTAACACTTTAGAGCGATAAGAAAAACAATACACTTTGATTTAAGCAAGGAAATTGTTAAGACTAATGTATATCTGCTTATATGAGAAGGGTATGTTATCATTTAATCATCTCTTTACAAGTAAATGCATAGTTGTGATTGCAGATAATTTTTTTAATAATATGAAGAAAAATATTAACTTGGACAAAAATTGTATTATTTTTATCACTTTAAATTCAGACTTAGTTCTTTGTTTTTGTTATTATATTTTTGGTTTTGTTATGATATTTAACAAACAGTGGAAATTCTTTTTCTTTTTTTTTTTCTGTTTTAGTAATATTGCTGGACTCTAAAGCACAACAGACAGAGTTGGAATGGATTTCCTCTCCTCCCAATGGGGTAAGTACTCCAGGCAAAAATTAAGTTTCTAAAGATGAGTAGTTATTTTACCAAAGCAATTGAAAGACTTACTTTAAACCAGTTCTCTTTCATATTTCTCTCAGTAATTGTACCAAGTGTTTATGGCTTTTCCAGTTTTGGAATGGAAAGAAGTGTACATCAGGTTACAGTGCACAAGTGTGCAAGCTGATTAAAGTGAAGAGTCTCTTTGTTTCTTTAGAAACTCACCTAAATATTCTCGGTAGCTTTACGTTTTGTAGTGTAATCCTTTGTGTTGTAACAGAAAGCTCTGTATATTTATAACACAGTATTTTAAATCACTTTTTTCTTCTTCCTTTAAAAACAGCAGATTTAATTCTGTGTGGAAACTTTCTGAAAATATGTTTTTCATTTTCTGTATAATGGGTGATCATAAATTTGTTTACGATGTTTTCTTTGTAATTGAATAGTACAGATTGAAGTGCTCTAAAATAAAAACATTTATACTGCAGATGTGTTTGAAATGACATTCCAAACTTGAAACATCCGCAAGTCTTGAGGAGCTTGATATTTGGAACTAGACACGAGTGATGTGGTTAAGGCCACCTCCAGCTTGCTTACAAATTAATCTCATGATACTCTATGAAATGTACCATTGTAAAGCACATAATTCTAAAAAATTTGATGTTCAGAAACATCCATGTATTTGTCTTTTTTATTATATATGTAAAGTTGAGAAACACTGCTTTCAGTCTGAATCAAAAGTGGTGTAAAACCCTGTCTTCTTCAAGCCTTGAGGAAGAACATTTTCAGACGGATGTAATGGGTATATTGTCCTACCTTAGCTCAGTCCTACCTTAGCTCAGTCCTACCTTAGCTCAGTCCTACCTTAACTCAGTCTGACAAATCATAAACGATAGGGACAGTTCTTACTCACAGAAACAGTCTTGCTGAATCTATTGTGACTCCTTGCATGAACAAGGACTTGGGGGATCAGGCCCTTAATCTTCAGTGCATTAAGAAATCCAGAGCCAGAAGAGCGTGAAGTGTGAGCGGGGATCTAAAAGTGTAACAAATCCTTTAAATAAGAAGAATGAAAATCTGAAAGTGTCTTTCTTTAAAGGCAAGATTGTAAAATCAATATAAGCATAAACTGGAAATGAATCTAAGGACTACAGAAACAATGTCATGCGAGCTCAATACGTATGATGGCTAATAACCTCGGCATTAGTGTTTTGCACTGACTGAAGCCTTTACCAGAGGTGTTTGAAAGATTAGCCTGGTGGCAATTATATTAGGCTAACCTGTAGATAATAAAAGACATGTCAACACACGTTACACATGTCAGCATACCTAAAGATGAAAGTAGAGTCAAATTCAACAGTAGAAGGTGACTTTTAGAAGTGGAAGCCAGTTTCAATCAGGAATTAAAAGTGATTCAAAACTAATGACCGGATTCATATGCATGAGAACGTTCAGAAATAGTTGCCTGTATATTAACATAAAAGTACCATTTTGATAATGTGATTTTGAAAATAAATGTTTTCCTAGTTTTAATTACTGAATTTTTTAGTATGCAATAAAGACTTCATGGGAATAAACACAGAAAATCTGCTTGAGAGAAACTAACGCATCATCACAGTACGGAATATATCACCCAGACACTCGTTAAATGCCTCATTCAGCTGCAAATGTTACATCTAACAATGATCTCAAACATTGTTAAGATAACTAAGAAGTTAAAATACCATATATTGCAACCAATAGAACAGCACACATTCAAATAGAATTGCATATATATCAACAAATGTTGCAGCAGGACAAAGAAAAGTTGAATTTTTTTGCTGTAAAATCTATTATGGAATTGATCACTTTAAAAAGACTTTACTGAAATATGACCTCCGATGGCATAGGTGAAAACGTATCCTGAAGTACTGAGGTATCTTCTTCCCCACAGAGAAACAGGTACACCTCCAATGGACTACTTGAAGTAATAGCTTTATGATTACAGAATTGAATTGTATTTCCTTAATTTTTTTAGGAAAATCATATTCTACAGCTTTGGAAAAATTTGGAAAGATAGACGTCAGTGTTTAATGATAGGGATAATGAAAAGTAGGACTTCTTACCTGAATTTAGTGTTTTGTATTGTTTTCCTGGATTGTAACATGAGAATCTCTCTAATACCAGCCAGACTCCTGTAGTCAGCTTTTGACTCCAAGAAGGCTCATTTGTGTTGTATTATGAAAAAGGGTTTGATTTTGTTAAATGTATTTTGTTTGTTGGTTGTTTTTTTTGTTTTGCTTTCTGGTTTTTTTTTTGGGGGGAGGGATGGGGGCTTGTTTTGATGAAGCAGTCCACATCAAAATCGAAGGGGTCAGATTCTATTGTTTGGTACACTAGAGTTACTTTCACTTCAAAGATACGATACATCGTCTAACTGGAACATTGCAGAATCTGGCTTGATGTTTTGAGGGAGGACTGCTACACAAGACAAAAAATAGAACAAGTAAAAAATCCTAACCAACTCAAAACAAAAAATCTCCAACTCCAGCTGATATGAAACGGAGAATGTAAAAGTCAGTAAAATTTTAGGCTTCATGCCTTTTTTTGGCATCTTTGTGGTTTTTTTTTTGGTGTGCTTTCTTTTCTTTTTTTGTTTGTGTTTTTGGGGAGGGGTTTGGTTTTTTTTTTCAATGTGGCACAGCTGAAAGCCTCAGTTCAGAGCCCCTTTTTTTCTTTTCTTTGTTTGTACTAGCTCTTATAGAGTGGAGAAAAAAATCTTACTCATTCAAATCTAATAAATCTGTCTGAAGATAGACTTTCTTTTGTTCTGAGATTAATACATTTCCATATGCAACCATTTCAGTTAACTCCTTGAGCATTTAATAACATATTTCAATCATTTAATACCTTATGCATATATGATACCATACATACCACATCTATATTAAGTCTTTGAAATATGCTTCGATATTTACAACTTCTGTGCATTTCAGCATCTGCAGCCGTGAGATATTTTGTGGTGATAACTTCCAGCATCAATTCAGCCACATCTTCATTTTCTTGGAGCAGTACACTAACATTATAATGATCTAATTTATTGTCAAATAGGCTTGCAAAGTACCATATACCACATGGCTCATAGTCTGGGTAACCAATGTCTTCCATGCTTAGTTACTGGTGTAAGGAATGTCAGTGGGTGCTCCATCCCGCAGAGGTGCCAAATATGCTAGTCCCACAAAGCACTTAAGCACGTGCTTACCATTAAGCTCGTAAGTACTGTCATTGATCTTAAGCGTAAAATTAAATGCATTATTGACACAGGGCCAGAGGGCTAAATGACATACGGAGAAGTCACGGTTGCCTATATGTTGGGTGAGGATAGCTCAAAGCAACCTCCCTAATCTGCGACAGCTGAGGTTACTGCAGTGAATTAAATGTTACAAGAAATGTGAAAAAAGGTGACACAGATACTGTGTTGGTCACACCTGGGCAAATCCGCCTGGCTGATTTCAGTGGATGGTTTGTCATCGCCGGAGGTGCAAATTCCCACACCACCAAAGGCTGTTGAAGACTACGAGACTGTTACAGGCTTACTGGTTTGTTACATGGTTGGTATCCTAAAGAGGTAACAACAACAAAAATCAGTCTTTGAACCAGTGAACTTTCAGGCATGTGAGTTGTTCTCAATTATGTATGTAATCTCATGGCTCATTTGAACTCCCAGCTAAATGAAGTTTGCTCCTTTTAACACGGATGCAGCCACTGAACAAAATGTTTGCTGAGGAGCTCCCGCTTAACTTCTGTTGGTTTGTAAGTAGAACAGAAGGTGGACTGAACAAAAAGAGGACAGCCAAAATGTTTTCCAGCTTTCAGATTTTTAATTCTGTTGGTTTTCTTTTGCCCTCTCCCTATGCCAGTTTCTTCATATAGGAGTGAAAATTGTGTGACTCTTAAGTTTCAGGATCTGGTCCCGTACTTTCTCTATAACTGATAGTTCCTCTGGAAGTTTTATGTGCACTAGTTTTATGTACTGTAACACTAGGCAATTTCAGTTTCTAAGACTTCACTGATTTTAGATTTCTCTGGAAGCAAAAATACCTCCCTCCTTTTGGTCTTTGCTTGCCCAAACCTGTCGTGACCTTAATGATGTGTGGGAGAGCCCAGTGTGTAATCAGAACTTGAACAGCACTGAACAGCCTTCTCTGAAGCTTCCCCTTTACAATTGTGACAATGGTTTTTAGAAGTTATTTATATGTGGGAAAGACACAG